CCCCGGTACTCTCCATAACCTCCCATTCCTCGAAGATGAGGTGCTCCCCAAGTGTCCCGGTCCTCCCTCCGACGTTGGTATCCGAATCCATCATCATATTCCCCTCTTCCCCTTTCAAAATCAGCACCTCAACACTGAAATTCAGCACCTCGACGTTGAAATTCTTCTCTTCTTCCGCCAAAATCTGCACTTTCATCATATTCATCTCTTCTACTTGCAAAATCAGCACTTTGACACTGAAATTCAGCACCTCGACGCTGAAATTCCTCTCTTCTTCCGCTAAAATCAGCACATCTTCGATCATTTCCCATGCTCATCTCCTCCCTAGAAAGTGGCTCTAGAGGTGGCATGTCGTCTTCTCCCTCAAGGATCTCTACATCCGGATTCCTCCTCCCCCTAAGCGGGTTCGGATTTCCTCCTACGCCGCGGTCTCCGGTAGTCTCTCTTGCTTCCGACGATGTCGGATTAGTCTTCATCTCAAGTAATTTCTTCATCATTTCTTCCATGGCCGTGAATTTTCCCTTCAACCTTTCATTGTTGGTGGTGATTTGATTTTGAAAATCAAAAAATCTTTCTTTCAAATCGATTTTCAATTGACCGACTTTGCCTTCCAAGACGTCCACCTTCTTTTCGGCCATCGTTCTTCTCACGGATCCCAAAATATCTTCTTTCGGAAACGATAAATTTGCTGAAATTTCAGAATTTCAGCCGCCGGTGGTCCCAAATCGATGCTCTGATACCAATTTGATAGGAAACACTTGTAGATCTTCTGAAAAATAGCGACAACATTGATTGGACTGCTGTCCACAGCAGGAAAACTCAGCAAATCTGCTGTTTACAGCAGTTTAACAGCATAATTCTAGAGGAAATTTGAAAGAACTCAAGCAAGATTTGTATTCCACTAGATAATGAATAAATTAGCAAGATACACTTGATCCTCAATTCGAGAGGAGGATCGATCTCTCCTAAATCTCTGGCAACGCCAAGAGCCCAAAGAAAACCTAGATCTAAGAGATCTCAAATTTTAGCCAAATTCAAGATGATCAAACCCTAGCAAAATCAACTATTTAATGCATACAAATCAAAAGGAATTCCCTAAACAGTCCCTACGTTCAAATTTCCCTCTCAAAACGCTCAAAAAAAATCCTAAACGGCTCTACGGGGGCGGACGGCCCGCTCGATCTCCGCATGATGCGGAGATCCCGTCTCAGTTGCGAACTGCCGGTCCCGTGCGGACCGGTCCAGTGGACCGGTCTAACACTTTAATCGAGTTGGGCCATAAGTAGCTTATCAAACGCTCGATTTACATACGTTAAGTTTTCGAGCAATTTGTTGATTATGAGGCTTACACCTCACCTCACAGGCAAAAAAATGTTTTAATATCCAATTGCAAAATTTTAAGCCTTCATTAGCACAACTGAAGTGAATACTTTAGAAAAGAAAAACATACATGAAACTGAGTTACTAAAGGTTAACTCGTTATAGACAATCAGATTATTTCTCTATGCCAGGACCATAGGAGAACTAAAAAAGTAATAAGCTTTGAGGAAATTAGTTTGTAACGTTGGAAGATTGTTGGGGTGAGATGAACTGGCTATAAGCTGAAAGGGATGAGTTTAGCTAAAGGGAAACAAACAGGTTGGGAGGGGGAACAATGACTAGGTGTGCAACAGTGATATAATATCCCCAACACCCCCTTCCCACACTATATTTGTGCTCAACAAGTGAATTTTCCCAAATTAAATTAAAAAAAAAAAAAGGCAAACTCATCCCTTCAAGGGGTAAGTTGGGTCCTTAAAATTTTGGCCGTTTGATTCTTTTTTGTCTATTATTATTATTTTGATCCTAATAAAAACATGTCCTCAATCATTTGTTGAAATCATTTGTTGATGAATGCATGCAAATGGCATGAGCATGATGAATCATTAATCCATTATTGACTGGCTCCCTAAAGAAAGATTCTAATCAATTCCTGATATTATTTTTTGCTATGTTACTGTTTCATCATGTGGTATGCATGCAGTTTTATACTCATGTGACATTGTTTAATTATTTCTGATATTAAATGCTGTGTCATGAAAGGATCCATGGCTTATCTGTTAGTGTTGCTCCAAGGTCATGGGTTCAAACCATCTACTTCGTAAGTTGATAGAGGTATTTCTCTAATTTCACGAATTTGAACCGCTCACCATTTCCCTCCCAAAAAAGCTATATGACTGTCAGTAGGGTTGTCAGGTGTTTGTTAGATCGACCCCTAGTGGGCTGGTCCAGCCGGCCCCCTCTAAGGTGCCGGTTCATGTTTTCAAGAAGAGGGGTGGCAACAAGAGGGAGAGAGAGAGAGAGATTTGGTGGGGTCCACTTGATTTCAAATTCAATTTTGGAGCCAAAGGAGGGGGTCGCAAGGGCCTTTTCTTGTGAAGGTGCCGGTAATATTCTCTAAGGTGCCGGTTCATGTTTTCTTTTTGTTTTAATTTTATGCCTTAAGTATGGGAGGGAGATTAGGGTTGGGGGATGCTGTGTTATTCTGTTCTTGTGAGGGTTCTTCTTGGTGTCCTGGGCTCTAGATTCATAGTCTAGAGATTGTGAGAGAACGATCCTCCTCTTGAATTGAGGATCAATTCTATCTTTTCTTGTTCTTGCATTTGGTTTGATTGCTATAATACAATCTACGTAGCCGACCCCACGTAGTGGGATAAAGGCTTGATGTTGTTGTTGTTGTTGTTGCTATAATACAATCTACTATTTTGGATTGTTTTCGTTGGAGAATATTACGATTTTCTCGCCGTTTTTATCAATATTATTAGGGTTTACTTGAAAGAACTCAAGTATTTCCTGTCAGTGTTCCACTGGTTCCTGTGCAGCTAAGGCAATACTAGATAGTTTAAGGGTTGAGAGAAACATCCCTCGTGTCATTGGAGCTTTTGTCATGAAAGTGAACTCATTTGTTTTTGCTCTTTGGTTTGCATTATTATGGTCACATATAAATTTTATGTTTATTATATTGTGAAAAAAGCTTCATATATATGAAATATGGAGCAGGTTTCCCGAATAATGAGGCCCATTCAATATCTCTCGAAGTGATATTAAATGTTATGAGACTGATTTTTTTTTATTTTTGTATTTCTTAATTGAATTTCTTTCTTGTTTTGCTTCAATGAGAGACGTTGATGTTCACTGTCAAGTCCACATGCTTTGTTTTGCCTCTTCGGAATTAGTTGCTTAATGGTATTGCATATTTCTATGCAGCAACAAATCTCTTTAAGATGCTTTTGAAGTATAGGCCTGAGGACAGAGCTACCAAGAAGGACCGACTTCTGAAACGGGCACAAGCTGAGACTGAAGGGAAGACCATTGAATCCAAGAAACCAATTGTTGTGAAATATGGGCTTAATCATGTTACTTACCTCATTGAGCAGGTTTAGAATCCCTTATTCTTTATATGTTGTATATCGTTCCTATATATGCTATATATTGGTGCTCTTTTGAAGCTTGATAATTGCTAGTTCAGTCAACTCTGTATAGTTCTTATTTTTACATTTTTACTATAAGATGGTGGTGAGGCCTGCAATGCTTTATGGTGCCGAATGTTGGTCATCAAAAGAGAAACATAATACTAAGTTAAGTGTGGCAGAGATGAGGATGCTCAGGTGGATGAGTGGCTTTACCCTTTGAGATAAGATACGAAATGAACATATACATGAACATGTTGGAGTAGCTCCACTAGAAGATACGTTTAGAGAGAGTCGTCTTAGATGGTTTGGTTACATAAAACGGCGGCCTTCCGATGACCCGGTTAGGAAAGTAGAGGTATTATATTTGACTTATGTTAAGAAAGGTAGAGGTATACCTAAAAAGACTTGGTTGAAAATATTAGAAATGACCGTTCTTTATTAGATTTAAATGAGAATTTGACTTTTAATAGGACACAATGGAGAAAAATGATTATGTAGCCGACCCCACGTAGTGGTATGAAGGCTTGATGTTGTTGTTGTTGTTATTGTACTATCCACACTTATTTTCCCTTCTTTTCTCACAGAACAAGGCGCAATTGGTGGTTATTGCTCATGATGTTGATCCGATAGAACTGGTTGTTTGGCTTCCAGCTTTGTGCAGGAAGATGGAGATACCTTACTGCATTGTGAAGGGAAAAGCTCGATTGGGAACAGTTAGTATTTATTTGCAATTTAACTTCCCATTAAAATATTGGATTATGGAAAATTAAGGCTTCGTTTGGGACGACTTTTTTGTTGCTTCTTAAAGCAACTTTTTAGTACAAAAAAGGCTTCGTTTGGAACGACTTTTTTGTTGCTTCTTAAAGCAGCCTTTTAGTAGAAAAATTAATTTTTTTTTACTAAAAGGCTGTTTTAAGAAGCAACAAAAAAGTCAGTCCCAAACGAAGCCTAAGTCTAATCTCCCATATTTCTGTTATGGATTCCATAGATTGTCCACAAGAAGACTGCTGCAGTGCTGTGCCTGACCACCGTGAAGAATGAAGATAAGCTCGAGTTTAGCAAAATATTAGAGGCTATTAAGGTGTGAAACAAGTCATTAAACAGTTTATAATTCAAACTTGAATGCTTATTCATTCATTAATTTCTAATTTTATTTCACAGGCCAACTTCAATGACAAGTTTGATGAGATCAGGAAGAAGTGGGGAGGCGGAATTATGGGTTCCAAGTCTCAGGCCAAAAGTAAGGCCAAGGAAAAGCTCCTGGCTAAAGAAGCTGCTCAGAGGATGAGCTAGCTTGTTTTTCGTCTTAGGAAATATGCGTATGGAGCTATTTTTGTACCCAGATCCTCCTTTTAGTAGATTTTGATGACCTTTGGTTGTGTAGACTTCTTGTTATGTGGACCGATTAAGTACGTGTCAAAATACATGTTTTATTTTGGGGCACAGTTGTCTTTATTTTTATTAAATCTTTATAATTTGATTTATTTTATGATTTGGTAGAGGACAATGGTTGCAATGTGAGTTAAGTTAGCTTGGGGGCCGATTTTAGCTCGACTTATTAGTGAGCTCATGAGTCATTATTAATGTCTATTAATTAAACTTTTGGATTGGATCAATGCTTTCATTTTGTGATTTGCATTTGTGCCATGGACTCAAAGCGGCTTGACCCCTTAGTAGTTGGAGCTTTTGAAGCTTGAATCTTTTTTTTATTTTCTTTTGGTTTGCCTTTCTTCGTTATACTTTGGTGCACTTATAGTTTGCATTCTATTTGTCTCCACACTCCACATGGTTTCTTTTGCCTCTCTCGAGTCCCAAATTGTTGGATTTGTGGATTCTCCACAAGCCAGCTCGTCATTATAGGCCTCGTGATGGGAAATTATTGGGTCAGGTCATCAGACGTTTTTGGAGCCCAATGAAAATGCGTCACATCACCTCCTCGGTACTGAGTAGTATCGAGCTCAATACTGTTTGGTACTCAGTACTTCACATTATCAAGCTCAGTACTGTGAATACAGAATGTAAGTTGTGTCCGGTGATTTGACCGAATAATTTTCCTCTAGTGAGGGGGTAAGACCGAGGATTGTATGCTGACATAGACAGGTGATTGGCGACTCTCACTAGTAAGTGATTGGTGATATTACCAAAGAGGTGTTGATCACCAACAAAATGTGACAAGGAAGAATATGCATGGTTCATCTCTAGGGATTTGTTTAAGATTTTCTTTTTCACAGCTTTATTTTTCACATGTTAACTATAAATTCATTTGATTATTTCTTTTTTTTTTTTTCAAAAATTTTGTGATGATTATTTTAATAGAAAATAGGTTAGAGTATGATAGTTATAAGAAGGATGTTGCTTATCTTGAAGAAAAGAAAGAAATAATTATAATAACCAAAATTATTTTTTAAAAAATAATTTGTCCTACGACCATATGCCTTTATCAAATGCTTTAATTCTCCAAATAGAGCCTAAAGGAAATCTTTTTTTTTTCCTATATCTATAGGATTGTGAGACGAGCTCAATTGAGTTTAATTTTTTTCTTAAATCCATTTTATTTCATAGATTTTGAATTTATAGCTAAGGTTTCATTTGGGATAATGTTATTACTGTTTTCTAAAACAACATTTTAATAAAAAAAAAAATTGTTCAAATTTTTTTGTATTAAAAAGTTGTTTTAGAATACAGTAAAACACTATCCCTGACGAAGCCTAAATGAGGAACTCAATAACACTTACATTATTTTAACTCTTTTGCTTGCCGTTTGCAGTTAAGTAGACAATGGATTAAGTAGTTGGATAAATTCAAAAAAAAAAAAAAAAGTTGAATAAATATTCCAACCCTTCCCAAAGTTACCCATAAACACTAACATATTTTAGAACCCATTCAACGCTAAAAAAGCAAACCAATAAAGGGTTGAAATATCATTAAGACTTTAATCATAATATAATACTAGAGTCATGATTATTTTATGTTCAATTAAAAAGGTGCATATTCCAAAATACATGATATAAAATTTTCAAAAAATAAAAAAAAATTCAAAATATTCAGAATTTTGTTCTTTATAACACAAGGGCGGATCCACCACATGCTTGCCCACTCTCAATTTTTTTTTTTTTAATATTTAGAGGAGAAATTTTGAAATATTTTGAGTATTTTAGGCATTTTGCAAAAATTCAAATTCCATAACTCATAACATTAAAATGCCAATATTTGGCGCCTAGTATTGTAACAATGCTGAGGTACTCGAACACCCAATGATGAGGCGCTCAAACAGCAACATTATGGTCCCTTCGACCTCTGTTCCCACCGACTACCAACTATGGACCCTTAGACCATCATCATGCATCAACTACAGTCCATTATACCTTCGTCGCCCGGTGACTATAGTCCCTCTGACCTATGTTGCATGTCGACTACAGTCCCTCTGACCTTTGTCGTCAATAAACTATGATACCTCTGACCACCATCGACCGCTGACTATGGTCCCTTCGATTTAGATTGTTTGCCAACTACATTCCCTTCAACTATCATCGCTCACCAACTGTAGTCCCTCCGACTTCCATCGCTTATCGACTACAGTCCCTCCAACTCTTTCGCATGCCGATTACCGTCACTCCAACCTTCGTCGCCCGTCGACTATCAACTACGATCCCATAGGCCATCGTGGTCCAACTGACTGCAGTCCCTCCGACCTCCTTCTCTCAACAGTTATGGTCCTTACGACCTCCCTCGCATGCCTACTTTGACCCCTACTACCTTCGTTGCTTGCCGGCTATGAACCCTTTGATCTCTATCGCCTATAAATTATGGTTCCTCCGACCTCCTTCACCCGCCGAGTATCGTCCCTCCGACCTCCATCTCACGTCAATTACGATCCCATCGACCACTGTAGCCTGCCGACTACGGTCCCTCCGACCTCCGTTGCCTGCTGACTATGGCCCCTTTGACCTCCATTTCCCACAGACTACGGTTCCTCCGACCATTATCGCTCGCTGACCACGATCCCTCTGATCTCCACTGCCTGCCAATTACAGTCCCTTTGAGCACCGTCACCCGCTGACTATGATTCATAGGACCTTTATCGCCTGTGGACTACGGTCCCTCGGACCCTTTGACCTTCGTCGCGCGCTGACAGTCCCTATGACCTTTGTCACCCGCATGACTATGAACCCTCCGACCATCATCGCCCACCGAATAGGTCCCTTTAACCTCCATTACTCGCCGACTACATCACTACGAACCTTCCAACCTCTGTCGCATGCCAACTATGGTCTATTTGACCATCATCGCTCGCCAATTACAGTCCATCCGACCTTAATCGTCCGACTACAATCCCTCCAACCATCGTTGCCTACCGATTACTATCATTATGACCTCAGTCACCCGACTATGGTTCCTTTGGCCTCCGTCGCCTGCCGACTATCCCATTACAGACCTTTCGACCTCCATCGCATGCTGACTACGGTCTCTTTAACCATCATCACCCGCCAATTACAGTCCCTCTGACCTCATTCGTCCACCGACTACGGTCCCACTAACCTTTGCTTCTTGTCGACTACCCCCCTACGAACCTTTCGACCACCGTCGCATGCCAACTACGGTCCCGTTGACCATCATTGCTTGGCAACTACGGTCCCTTCACGGTACCTCCAACTATCATCGCCCGCTGACTACAGTCCCTCCGACCTCAGTCGCCTGACTATGGTCTCTCCAACCATCGTCTCTCTTCGACTACAGTCCCTCCAACCTCATCCCTCTGACCTTAGTCTCCCGACTACGATCCTATCAACAAAATGAACACCCTAATATTCTCTTATGAATAACTCTCATATCGTTGAATTCTTCCAACCCCAACTATGTAATATGCTTTATATTTTTTACATTAGGCTAACACTTTCCCTCGAGGAAGGACATCATTTATAATCAACAACAAATATTAATATATTCATTTCAATTGGGCAATGCCCTATGGTTTTTCTCTCCCTTTTTATGATTATTCACGTAAAAATTATGATGACTCTTATAACTTTTGCACCTTTCTCTTATTTGTGTGTTGTTGGATCTTTGTCTAAAAAATAGGACACTAAACTCTATATCTCTCTATTGTTGTGAATATTTTAGGATGCAACAAGCCTAATGAAATATTAATTAATTATCAGGTAAAATATATTAATAAATTAATTATAATTTAATTAGTGTAATCAAAATTCTTATGAATAAAATAAATATGATAAGATATCCTAATTATTTAAATACCTAAATTATAAAATAAATAATCAAATAATTTATTTGAAATTAATTAAATTTAATACTTTCATATTTTCTAGATTTAATCCTACTTAGTGTCCCTTCACTATCAGTTGGGAGAGATTATTATATGTAGAGTTCAGATGAAATAATTATCCAAATTTTTTTAAAAATACATAATAATTATATAATAAATACTTAAATTTATTTTTTACTATATATATTTATACCTTCACAAAATCAAAACAGTTCTCTTACCCGCGTAATAATTTCTCACCAATGGGACTCCATCCTCCACTTCGCAAGCGAAGCGATTATGCGGCCGCCGCACGCACGATCATTTGTAAATCACCATAATCGAAGCGGCTGCGGCGAGCAGTAAAGCGCTAACCATCAGCGCTTATTTGTTCTGTTTCCAATTTATTTGAATCCTTGACCTGCCTCTCCCTTCGATTATGTTCTGTATTTCTTAGAATAGAATATTCTAAAAAAGGTAACTGAAATAAATAAAAATTAATTTGATTCCAATAAAGAAATATTTTTTAACCAGATCGCGATAAATCGCAACGAGGACTTCATTAAAAAAGACATATTTTATTATGAGCTTATGGGTTACAAAAAAGTTTTTTTTTTTTTTTATATTTTAAATCTAGAATCGAAGGGCTCTTATGAGATCACGAGGTTCTTTATCAGAACTTCCAGGTTCGCAAGCGTGCTCATAAAACCCTAATTTTCCCTTCTTCTCAGAAATTTCAAAACCCTAATAACATCGTTTACCTTCGGTGGAAGACGATGGCGGTCACACTCGACGATGAGAAAACAAAGAACGTCATCCGCCAGGTAGAATGGATTTGTGTTCTTTCGCTTTTTTCACTTCTCTCTGTTATTTTGGGGGCCAAAGCCTGATTTTTGTGAACTTGTGTTGTAGGTTGAGTTTTATTTCAGCGACAGCAATCTGCCGCGGGACAAGTTCTTACGAACTACTGTTGAGGAAAGCGAGGATGGGTGTATCCTTAACGCCAAAATCCAATCTTTAGAATAACCATGAACTTGATTATTGCCATTTTAAGTTTTCATTTTGCGTGTTGTAACCTTGACCTTGGGTTAAGTGGTGAGCTTGGCTTTAATCTGCTCTTTTTCACGAATGAGAAAGCATCTGGATTTGGGTGAGTTGAAGCCGGAGGAGATTGCGGAGGAAACAGTGCTAGCCGTTGCAGAGGTCCTACGGAAATCTTCTTCCCTCAGAGTTTCAGAAGATGGTAGGTTTCTGTTTCAAGTTTTCATCTGCAAATTATATTAAGGTGTTACTTCTTTGCTATCTTTGTGATCTTGAACATGATTATTTTTTGTAAAGGTTTGATAATTTTCTTTTATTATAAGGTTTAATGTTCGTCACATAGCATAAATCATCTCATGCTTTTGTTTAGTGAATGAGAAATTATTGGGTGTTGAATATATACTTAAGCCATATGTGCGGAAGGTCAATGGTAATCAGACAGATGTATATCAATGTTTTTAATACATTTTCTTTTAAAGCAACTCGACCTGAAGCTAAAAGGTTTTTTTTTTATTAAACTAGAAGAGAAAGATAGAGCTTTAATTCCCAACATCAAAACATTTTGATTACTCTAGATTTCTTCAACTATGTTAGGAGGAGCACAAATTAATTTAACAAATGGATTATTTGAGATTTCTACAAAATAAGTTGGAAAAATCAAGGATAAAAAATCAACTATGTTTGATGATTTTGGAATTTCCACGATGAGTTTCCCCTTAAGCATACTTGAATCTACCTCTTTTATTTTCTCTTAAAAATTGAAACTCCTTTTAACTAGTGGTTGCTATATATTCACTTTATTCTCTTTTTTTTTCCTTTAGAAAGTATTTTTAGCTATATTTTTTACAAGCCTACAGTTTAGATGCATGCTTTTTTAGCGTAGGGTTTGTCGCCACTAGAAATGAAAGTGTTTAAAGGTTGTACACATATGATAAATTGAACCACATAAAAACAAAAGTCAGATGTGTGTAAAACTAAAATTAAAAGAGATATGAACATATCAAAATTTTCTAATGTGTATAAGACAAAAAAAAGAGAAGCCATTCTAAAAAAAAAAAAAAAAACGTGAGTACAACTTTGAAGGTGTTGTACATAGTTGTGTGTAGCATTCTAAACTCAATGTATATACTATGATGAATTATGTTCACTTTTGTTAAATTAATCTAGGAACCTAGCATAAATTTTAATGTTGAAGCGAATTTAAATGCTATGGACATGTTTGATGCCATGGACAAGGTCATACTTCTGAATGCCATTATTTCCATTGAGATTGAAGCATTTGATCTAAGCTCTGATTATTTCATCCTGTTGTATTTTGCTTTCCAAATAATAATGTTCCTTATTGGTTTAGTCCAAGGAAAATTAATTCAAAATATGATTTATGTTCAAAAGCTGATCTTAAGAATAATCAGATGAAAAAATCTCGTGAAGCAAAGTTTTAAAAGGGGGACATTAAGATATAATATCTGTTAATATTGAGATTTAATGTGGGTGATGTGGTAATTAGGTTATCAAATTTGTTTGACGTCATTATTGTGCTTGAACAAAACAAAAAATCAACATCTGTTGAGACCTCATTGGATAAAATGTACTGAAATGGATGGTGTGCTGAATATAATGACACAAGTTGGAATTCAACTATTGATGCATTCTCTTATCTTGTTAAGGAAGTTATTGGAGTAGAGAAAATTGTATTTTCAAAGAGAGTTACATATAACTTTATTCAAAAGGAGAACATGAATCGAATAAAGAATGGTGATTTGATATTTTGATATTATTTAAGAAAAGAAAAACACAAGATAATATGCTTGCATGGGATGCTTAAGTTGATGAGTTTGAGAGGTTGTTTACAATGCCTGTTCTGTGTTTTTAAGCCTGCACGAAGTTGTTTACATCTTCAAAAATAAGGAATTTGCTAATAAACTTTTGTACATAGCTGGGCAAAACTTTTTTTCATTGTTTTTCAAGGCTATACATGGTGAGTACAACACAAAATGAAGAAGATGATTCTAGCCTACTATAGACCGTTCTCTATAATACTTGTTTTTTGTTTTTAAGATTCTACACAATGATTTATAGTTCAAAAAATGAAATAGGTTGCTTATAAATTCATGTACACAATAGTTTACGGCTACCTTGTTCTGTGTTATGAAGGATGAACATAGCATTTTATGGAAAAAATAAAATTTTTCTCTAAAATTCCCATACATTGCTTTGTACAACTCTTGTTCTTTGTTTTCAAGGTTGTATATAGTTGCATTTAAAAAAGGTGAAATAGGCTATTGTATTGTGCTTCCAAGTCTGTACATAACATTATCCAACAGAAAAATAAAAGAAGTTGCTATGAAACTCCTATACACAGCTGCATGCAATTATTATTTTGTTTTTGAAAATATATTTAATTATGCAACAATACAAAAATTAAGCTAATTGTTAATAATATCGAATATCTAATGCTGTCTTTTTAAGGTTGTCCACAATTGTGTACAACACTAAATCTAAACATATATGCTAAAAGTACCTATATACAGTGGTGTATATTATTTATTTTAAGGATGTACATAACTATGTATAACACAAAAATGAAAGTAGTTTATCAATTTATGTACACAACTATGTTATATGTACATCCTTTGCTTTGTGTTTTTTAATTGTGCACCATTGTGTAAAACAAAATATAAAACAAGAAGAAGATGCTATAATACTCTTTTACACAGCTGTGTACAACACTTATTTTAATTGTTTTTATGGCTATGCACTACTGTGTACAACATAAAAATGATGTTTTGATGAAACACCTATATACAGCTGCGTATAAACCTTGTTTTGTTTTAAGGATGTAATGTACACTATTTATTTGAAGTTTTTCAAGGTTTTCAACAAATTTCTTCAACAAAATTGAAGAAGTTGATATAAAACTCTTGTACATAGCTATGTGTAATCTTTATTTTTTAATTTTTGAGTGTGAACACAACTATTTGTGACACCAAAAATAAAATAAGTTGCTAATAAACTACTATGCATGGATGTATACAACCCTTCTTTTGTGTTTTAAGAGTGTATATAACAATGCCAAAAATAAAATTCTTGTAGATGGCTGGGTCACCATCACTTCAAAATTTAATTAATATTCTTATTTTTTCTTAATGATTATGGTAGAAAAAGAAACTCCTACACATAACTTTGTTGTTGCAACAATAACACCTTCACACAGCATGGACCCATTGCTCATACATCAATAAATTTTCAACAATATTGATAGATGGATTATTTATATATAGATTTACTGTAAATGAATTAAGTGTTCAACAAACTACTTGAGGTTCGGCTCGATTAAAACTCGTTTGTCGTCGTTTAATTAAGTAATCAAACAAGTTTGAACATTTTCTTAATACTTGATGCTATAACAAATTAGCTTGACCGACTATGTATTCGGCTTGTTTATGTTCTTGAACAATATCGTCTGAAGCTCGTGAACATGCTCGACAAGAAGCTCGTTAGGAGCTTGATAAGAAGCTTGTTAGGAGCTTGATAAGAAGCTTGTTAGGAGCTCTATAAGAAGCTCGTTAGGAGCTTGATAAGAAGCTCGTTAAGAAGCTTGATTCTTGTTCAATACATAACTTGTATGAAAGTTTGCTGAATATTTGATATAAATATTGATTATTTCTCATTAAAAATGATGAACAACCTGATATAAATATTTTATGTTTATTATAATTTAAAATTATAATAATTGTTGATTAATAAATTATAAAATTTATTAATTATTATTATATATACTAATGAAAATACATCATAAATATCTATTAATTGATATTACATTATTATTTATATTTTAATTAAAACTATTTTTATTTAATGATGTTACCTAATTATACATTTATATTTTATACCTTTAATTCCTTGCCCTCGCCACTCACAAACGCAAATTGCAAATCTTAATCATTCTATTGTTCGCTTTCTCCATTACACTGTCCTGCCGTACCCTCGTGTTTCTCCTTACGCCGCTGACCCGCTTGTTTTGTAACTTGAAAACACTTACTATATATGTTCGTGAACACGCTCATTTGGTTGTTCAAAACAAATTGTTAGAAATGTTCATGAACATGTTTGTTAGTAGGCTCGATAAAGTTCGTTCGTTAAGCTAATGAGCATTTAGAAGTAGAGCTCATGAATTGCTTGATAAGACTCATTTGTTTAAAGCTTAATAAGCACGAAACAAATCGAAATTAAATATGAACCAAACAAAAACCGAACATGAACATCCATCAACTTAAACAAACCAAGCTTGAACATGAAGATGAAAGCGTGAATCGAGTTCAAACCGAACCAACATGAAAAAGTTGATAATAAATGAACTCAAACATGAACATGCACCTGTTCGGCTCAGTTCGTTTACAGCCCTCACATTAGATAAAAATTATTTCATCATATTTTATCCATAAGTTTCATAACAGTATAAAAAACTCCATGAAATCTTATAAACTTTAATTTAATTTCAGTAGGAAGTATCCAAGACAAAAGTTCATGGTCATTGAATAAAGGTGACGATCAGAGCATAAACCCTGAAAAATCTTGATTCAGTCGACGAATGGAGGTAGTGACAAAACAACTTATGTTATAGAGTTGAAAGTTTGTAGTTATCTAAAATTTAAACAGCAAGAGAGTGTTTTCTTCAATGTCTTTCAGGCTTGCCAAATATTCTTCAAACCCAAAACTGCTGCTCAACAGACGATTTCTTGTTTAGTTGCAACTGGAGAACGGAAATTCTTCAGCGTCACTGATTTATAGGTTCATACAATTTTGTTTTATATATGGACCCATGTCGCTGCTCCGGATAAAATCCCTCTTTTTTATTAAACTCCCTTATTTCTAATTTTGGGTGGGCATTTTTTGTGGTGGGTCAGTGTGTTAATCAATCTCGGGATTGTTGTTGAACTAACATTGGCTTCGCATTTAGAGCTACTGACATTGCTGCACCGAATAAATTCTTATCTAAAATATCTTTCTTGGAAGACTCCTTTTTATTCAACTTAGGCTTTGTTTGGGACGGTTTTTTTTTTTCTGCTTCTTAAAGCAGCTTTCTAGTAGAAAAAAATTAATTTTTGTACAATGTTTAAAATTTCGTAACCAGGTATTGAGGCGTTTTTCGTTTGTGAGGCGAAGCGTAAGCCTCAAAATCAAAAAATTGCGTAAACATAAAATGATAAATTTTGTATATACTAATGAATAAATAATATATAAAACATAAAAATGCACAATATATGAAGTGAAATCAAAATATCACAATAATAAGACAACATGAATACAACAATATATCGGTTTGGGGGGCGCTGCCCCTGGCGGGGTTCGACCTGCCCGGTCAGGTCGTGGGGTCAAGGGGCAGCAGCGCCCCTGCAGGGGTTTTTGGGGGCTGCGCCCCCTTAATTTTTTTTATTGTAAGAATAATTTTGAAGTTCTGCTTGTTTTTAAAGTTCGTAAATTGTTTGTATGGAAAGATA